TATTGTATGTGAGGATTTCTCATAGAAAATGTCATAGGAAATTCTCACAGCATAACAATATGAGAGAAATTCTTATGTTAGTTATGTGTGTGAGAAGTTGTCTCAGATTTAAATTAAAAGATATTTCTAGTGGGATGAAATATTGTATATGATTATATTTGGTATGAAACTATTATGTTTAAAAGCATGTTCATTTGTTTGGAATCCTTATATACATGACTTGTGGAATGTTGAGTGGGAGTTTATTGTTCAAATAGGACTTTATGCCATGTCATATGTAATAGCCCAAAAAATTTAAACTTGATTAATTAGGATAAATGAGAATGATTTTGTAAATTAATGTGCTGTGTGGTTAGAGAGGGCTAATGAATGCCTTGAATTGTGGTTTCAGCCTTATGTTTTGGGTTGGAGTGAAGTTGGGTTACTTAGACCTCAAAGAGGAAGAAAAATAAGGAGGAATAACTTTATGCTAGATGCCATGTCACGTCCATCAAGTTTTGCTATACATTTGGCTAGAAAACATGAAGGAACCCTCTCTGTGTCACATAACACGGTGCGACAAAATTTGATAGTAATAAGTCATAAAATTAGATCAGAAACAGAGAGAGAAAAAAGGAGATAGATAGAAGGCATCGGAGAACACTCTAGGGTGCTGCTAGGGCTTGGTTTTGTGAAGATTTGGGAGCACTTTAAAGCTTGCAATCACCTACAATATGTTTCCCAAGCTCCATTCTTCATTCCTCTTCCATTTTGACATATTCTTGAGTTAGGACTTGTGTTGAGAAGTAATTTTCAAACCTTTGAGGCCATGGGTTTGAACCCATTGATTTAAATGAAGTGAACAGGAGTTGTTTGAGTTGTCTAAGCTTAATATTAATGATTTTGAATGTCCTTGAGCTTGAGTTCCTCATTATGGATGAAAAATGATATTTATTTTAATGGTGAGGAGGGTTGGATGCCATTAATATTGTCTAATGAATTTGTTAATGATAATTAAAGCTAAAGGGAGTTATTCAAGTTTCCCATCTTTAGTTTTGAAGTTTCTATAAAATTGAGAAGTTGGGTTTTGAATTTTGGGATGAACCTTAGACATTGAAATGATGATTTAGGTTGTTGGATATTGTAATCAATATTATTTATGCTCATATGATTAAATTGTACTTAATAGAAGCTAATATACCCATTGGTTGGGAGTAAGAGATTGTATATAAGTTGCTATAGGAGTATATAATTGTGCACAAGCTTGTCAATACAAATATGTGTGTGATTTTTGTGTGTCCTAGTCCTATTGTTTATATATGTATGTGTTTGAAGTGATTGTGATGATCTAGGCTTGGAATTGAATGTATGTGCATATGAACAAAATGGGTATGTGATGAATGTAAAAGCTTGGCCGTTGATGTGAAATTGAATGGAAAGTTTGTAAAATTGATCAAATGCGTAAAATAGGCAGTTTACTAGCCAAACTTATGTATATATGTGATATTAATTATATTAATGGTCAATTAGATGTAAATGATCCCATTGAATGTGGTCAAGGTTCTAGAAGTGGCCAATAATTGTGATGCTCAAGTGGAAGATTTTAACTTAAAATGGTCAAAATGCTTTCAGGTGTCTAATTTTCAAATGTGATATTGGATTTAAATGAATGTCATTGGCTAGATTTTGAAACAAGCACTGTGTGGGCCATTAAATTACTCTAATCGGACATCGAATGTGAAAATAACGCACATTTGAAGTTTCCATCAAAATTGCTATTTTGACAGTAAAAACTGATGTGTGCGTCGCTACGCAGTATAGAGCCAATGCTGGTGCTTCTGTGTCACATGCCGCTGCGCATGACCCATATTTTGCCTAAAATGTGTTGTTTAGAATTAGCTTTCTTTAAGGTTTTCACGCACATAATATTAGTGTTTCCATTGTGTACTACTTTATGATTTGAACATTTTAGAAATAGTTTTCAAATATTTTAAATTGAGATCCCAACCTTTCTTAAAAGAGTTTTATTTATTAGATTGTGTGTTTGAGTTTTAAACGGTAATGTCAGGAAGGGCATTACAGTATTCACAATGGGTCCCCACAGATGATAAGTACTCACACTCTCAAGAACTGAGAGACAACTTGCAAGAAGAGAAACGTCTTCATTCACTCATTAGTTAATTAGCAAATATCACCTATTTCTTTTGAATACAAACATTCACTTTAGTTACAATTATCTTTTTTAAAAATTAATTATTTCAAATTTATTTCTCAATTTTCATTAGAAAATCAAATCTTAGTTGTATACAAAACATTGATTAAATCCCATCATAATTTGTGTTTTTTTTTTCAAATCAAACTTTTTTATATTTCATCATTTATGAATTTAAGGATAATCACTTGCAAATTTTAAAAATATCATCAATGAATTTATGAAATTCAGTTTTAAATAAATAGATAGGATCACGAATTTATGTTTCATTTGTGATGTAGAGATAATTAGTTCTGAATTTAAGGAATGTCACTTGTGAACATAAAGAACATCACTTGTGAATGGGTATGAATAGTGTTTAATTATAAATGAATGATTTAGGGACCCTCTTACGATATCAAGTCCCATGATCCTGCCTTGCCTTATATCAAGTTCCACTCCAAAGCTATCAATGGGTACTAAGATCTTGGGATCTTATGCTGTAGGAATAAGTCTATTCCTGATGTGAATGGGCATTTAATCTTCTTGGGACCCCTATCAGCAACTATGCATATATATATGTATGCCTATATATTCTCCCCAACCAGATGCAAACCAACTAGTGATCTGCTCCCTTTGGTGCAATATCTGGACACTTGGAAACATTTAACCCTTGGTACCGTGCTTCTAGTAAGCCTCTAAGCCAACATCTTATGTTCAGTTTGGCCTAATAATCTGCATTCCCTATCCTCCTTCGATGCAAGCCCTGATTTTATTGATCACCACAGGTACTTGTATGATTCAGTTTTCTATCTAGAAGTGGGACCACATTGAGTTGCAGAATCTATTTGCCATGGTGGGTCCAACATTTCAAAGCTATTGTGCATGGCTTTTTCTGTGAGTATCTTAGTTCTCTGTTTCCTTGTCATCGTCGTTCTGCTTGGCAATTATTGACCTTTCTTTCTTGTGTAGAGTTCAAGCCAAAAGATGAGTTGGTCGCCAAGTTCAGATCTGCCATTCATGCTCCCACCGAGCCTATACTTTTGCTCTGGCCGCCTCGGTCAAAATTCAGTGATACTGACAATGCGTTCGAACTTTTAGCCTTTGAGAGTTAACCTCAATCATCATATCTAATTCATTATTGACCTCAATTAATTCTCCCATTAACATTAAATCTTCCCTAATTCTTAAAACTAAAAATCTGGATATCATACCCATAAGGCATCTCTTAAGCTTGTATATGTTGGATCATGTCTTTTGATGATTATAAAACCAAGAAAAGAGGTATTTGTTATGTGTGTAGATATAAAGAATCATGGATAAAGATAAAACATCAAGAACATGAAGAATCAAAATAAGATGAAGATGCTTCAGATAAGTTATTTTAAATTTTCTTAGATTTAATGTGAAAACTTTGAGAGCTTAATTATTTTTCATAATCATTAAAATGAATGCATTATATGTTTCATTTATATGCATTAAGACTCATCTAAGCAAATTAAAGCTTGCAAATAATATCTTTCTTGCGTGTTGAATTTCATAGAAGCTGTTTACAGTGTGAGAAGCCGAATCATGCGTGATTCTGCACGTCATTCATGAGTTTTTGCAGGTTAGGCACATTGACTGTTAGATCACGCAAGAGTCAGGAAGTGATTCATGCGTGATTTATCACTTGTATTATCTGATGCCTTAAGCTTTGTTTCTGCATGTAAAATTATGCATGAGAGCCTTTGTTGTCCATGCAAGTTTTAGCAATTATGCTTCATTACATTGTGTCAAAGTGTAAAATCATGCATGAGACTGATGATAGCCATACATGATTTATCACTTGGTGCACAATTACATTTTTGCTTTGTTGAGTCTTAAGTCATCTCAAGTCAAGTTAGAATTGTTCACTTGTATGATTATTGATTCATAAATCTATATTTCTTTTGCTTGAGTTATGTATTGTTCCATGTGTGAAAATGCACCCAAACAAGTTTGTGCATTATTGCTCGGCATTTCACACGTGATAGCTTTTTGGTTTTATGTGAGTTTTGACCATATAGATTGACTTTAGCTTTCTACTAGCCATGTCACTCGTGAGAGGAAAGAGATTCCACATGTGATTTGTCACACAGAATTGATGATGTGAGAGTTAATGGTTCACTCGCAAAATTTATCACTCCAATATGTGAGTATATTCACAAGTGTAAAACCACATGAGAGAGCAAAAAAGTATCACGTGAGTTTTAACACATAACTGAATGCTTATTCATAAATGTAAAACCACGCATGAGATCAATGAGATTTCATGCGAGTTTTAGCACATAAAACTGAATATTTATTCAGAAGTGCAATACCATGCATGAGATCAAGAAGTTCACATGCAATTTATCACATATACATTTTTAAAACAATTTAAGTGCAATTTCATGCGTGATTCTATCAATTACTTACAAGAAATTACATCAATAGACAAAATCAATGTGATTCATTTGAGCAAACTCGCATGGCTACCAAAATTTATTATTAATCTTTTTTTTTAAATATATAAATGAGTATTTTAATCAAACAGAAGTATTTAGATGGGTGGAAATTATTTTGGTCAAACAAACTATTAAGCAGGATTCAAATCTGTTTATAGCTTTTTTTGTTAAAAAAAAAAAAATGCATGCTCTCAGGTAAATTCTTATGTCAAGTCTTCCAAGCTGTCTCCATCACAAAGCGAGAATGCTTGACTGATTTGTCCTCATTCTATCCTCTTTGCATGATTTCTTGCTATGCACTAGTTATCCAAAGAAAAAAAGGCGGGTACAAATTCAGTACATTTTTAAATAACAAATCTATATAAATTTAATGAGAGAATATTATATAGCAAATCCATCAACAGAGAAGCTCAAGAGAGCATTTAAATTTAAATGTGTAAGAATTCATAAAATGGGATGATGCCTATAGACCCTCTATAAAACATCAATTATGTGTACCTTTGTGATGGTAAATGACAGGCATATTTTGCTAAATCAATTACATGGTTAGTATTACAGTGTAGAACAGAGTAACCAGTGAATTATGATTGTCACTATACATATGTGCAAGTAGAATTGATCAAGGGCAAATATGTCATTGCAGTTGCTGCCACTCCTGTATGGCATTGAGTAACGCATAGTTAGGCACCAGGTTGGTGTGTTCAAGCTGAAGGTTTGTCATTGGCGAAGTATTGTGACCACTATCCAACCATCCTCTTATTGCGTCTTCTTCATACGTAAAGCCATCTGCAGCTATAAAAGGATCTTTCATGACCTCCTACAATTTCAAACACAATACCAATGAAGCATTAGATAACAATCCAACAAGAAATCTATAGTTACCTTGTCAACCAGGTAATTATTATTATTTTTTAGTGTAATTTGCCGTGCGCTCTTACAACTTGGGTCAAGGAGATAATTTCGCTTCAGTACATCTTGAGTTGTACAGATTCTCAAAGTATGAATGCAGCTTTTCTATATGTATAAAAGTTATCTCTTTTATAAAAATGACACTAAGTCCCAGAATAGATGATGGATCCAGAGTTCCACTTAAACCTGTGGGGCAAATTTATCATAAGTGTGATCCATACGTGACGTTACTACTCGGTAATGACTATTGATCGGCTTTGCTTTGAAATTGTCAGTAAATCTTGTGTACATGTTAGCAATTCACATGCCATAACTGTTTACTAACTACCAACATGTAAAGGCATTTGATTAAAACATGAGAAAATTATGAAAGTAAATAATATTCTAGACTGCAATGATGGATTGGTTAAAATAAAGGAAGAATGACACCTAGGTTATGTTTGAGAGCATATGATAGAATGGAGAGGAATGAACATTAACAAAGTGGAATAGGGTGGAGTGAGATGGGGTGAAATGGAACAAAACGTTCCATTATTTGAAAGTTTTATAAGAGGAATGAATGATTTTTTTTAATCTTCATTTAAAAATTATTATAAAACTAATAGATTTAAATTAGTTAAAATTATGTTTTTCCAGTTTAATGACAGTTGGGCCCCAAAAATTTTTGCTGAAAAAATGAGCTGCAGATATAGATAAACAATTGCAAATATAGGAACGTTAGTTGCAAATAATGCATTTATATCTCAGAAGTTACCCCTACTTGTAAGCAAACAAGATTGCTATATTTGCAATTGTTTAAAAATTATTTGCGTCTTATTATTCAGCAAAATCTTTTGAGACCAAAATGTCATTCCCCCTATAATATATTTGGAGGAGCTTATGATATTCACCTGAAATATGGGGCAGACAAAGTGAGAAGGAGGACGATGAAGCTTCTTGGAAGTCAAATATGGTGACGTGTTACTACATGAAGTTTTTAACGGTCCAAGAACACTCCAGATTTCTGATACAAGGTCTGGCCGATTCATCCGGGTCTTCTCAGAACATCTCAATGCCAAATATGCCAGCTGTTCAACCTGATAAAGTGGCCATTCTCCCGCTGAAATGTCCAATACCGCTTTTAGGTTTTCCTTCTCCAATGCACATTTTGTATCCCTTACTATTCCCGAAATAGGTCTTCCTGTTAAAAGCTGTAACAATATGATTCCGAACGAATACACATCGGATTCTGGCACGAGCTTTGCAGTGATAAGAAATTCTGTATCCACATACACCGAACTTTCATTTCTGTTGTTGACTGTTGTGTTACTATCAGCTGAATGCCCACTGCGCTGGACCAAAGAAGAAATGCCCAAATCACAAAGTTTGGCAACAAAGTTCACATCAAGGAGAATTTTACTGGGCTTCAAATTCCCATGGATTATACAAGGCTTGCTGGAGTGAAGGAAGATAAGAGCAGAGCATATGTCAGCAGCAATGGATATTCGAATTTGCCAAGGAAGTGGAGTCTTGTCTTTGCGGGCAAGGTGTTCCTCAAGGCTGCCATTGTTAAGGTAATCATAGACCAGCGATCTAGTTTCCGGGCAGCTTCCAATCAGTGTGACAATGTTTGGATGTCTTACCCTACTCAAAACCTCAACCTGAAATTCATCGAATAATATGGACAACACCAGCAATTCTTAGTATGGATTCAGAAAGTTGAATTTGTCACATAAATATTACTTTGGGCAATCTGTCAACATTATTTAGGTCCACAGAAACTTCATGTTAGAGGATTGTTAGAGTAATGCCAGAATTGAGATGGACTGATTGATAAGTAGAAAAAATAAAGCATTCTAGAGAGTAAGTTCATCATTTTGAAAAGGAAAAAAAAAAAAACATAAATGAAGCACATAAAAGCCATAAATAGTACAGTTTGTGATTTGTCTTAGATCCCATGCAATATGAAAAAAAAAAAAAAGATTTACAAGCCTTGTATCACTGAGTGAGGTAGCCTACATGAATCACAACATTATAATGGTCTATCAGCTACTACTCTAATATATCATTTACAAAAAGAAACTAGCTATAAGTTGACTACAAGAAAATACATCTACAGCAGTATATGTACAGAGATGGCCCAATAATCTCAGCGAGAAATTTGGACTAGATACAGGAAAATAAAATAAAATCTATCCTAATAAAAACAAAAATATTCTATCTAATTATGTCAATATCAGATTTCCACACTCACTGTAAAGTTGAATCATTACTTGCCAAACAAATACTCAAATTTGTCTTGAGCTCCCTTTGGTAAGAACATATGCTGTTTGCTCTCTAGTAGGTATGTAGAGCAAGTGGATGATACTACTATCGATCTTTTCTCTAATGAAGTGCCTATCTATCTCAACATACTTAGTCATGTAATGCTGCACATGATTATATGAGATATTAATGGTTGCAACATTGTCTGAGCATAGTGTGATTGGTAAACCGACACTCATCTTCAATTCTTCTAGAAGTCATAGGACTTCACAAATTCCAAGAGCAACTGATCTCAAATTTTCTTCAGCACTACTTCTTACAACTACACTCTGCTCTTTGCTCCTCCAAGTAACCAAGTTACGCCAAATGTATGTGCAATTGCTGGATGTAAATTTTCTATGTTCTTGGTCTCCTATCCAATCTGGCATCTGCAAAGATCTCTACATCTTGTTTACTGATTTTTTGAACATGAAACCACAAGGAGTAGCTTTCATGTACCCAAGAATCCTATACACTTCATTCAAATGTTTTTGTTTTGGGTCATGAGTGTTGATTGACCAGACTAGCTGCAAAAGCAATGTCAATCTTGGAATGAGAGAGGTATATCAGTTTTCCCATCATGCATTGGTATCTTCCCACGTCAACAACTTTGCCAAGGTCTTCTTCATTACCAATTTATCTGCTCGTATGGGAGTATCACTTAGACTACAACCCAACATGCATGTCTACTTTAGGAGATCTAGAATGTCCTTCCTTTGAGAGATAAATCCCCTTCTTTGATTGGGCAACTTCCATCCCAAGGAAGTATTTCATTTCACCAAGATCCTTTATCTAGAAATCTCTGCCCAATGCCTATTCAATCTTTCCTAATTCATCCGTATCATCCCATGTAAGAATAATATCATCAACATACACTATCAAGACAGTCATCTTGCCATTATGATGCTTAAAGAACACAGTATGGTCACTTTGTCCTTGAGTATAGCTGTCCATTTTAAGAACTCAGGTGAATTGTGCACACCAATCTCAATTCTCAGTAGGATTGTTTCAACTCTTACAATGATTTCTTCAATTTACACACTTGATTTGATCTTTCTCATGGGAAGCCAAGAGACAATTTTCATGTATGCCTCTTGTTCCAAATCACATTTAGAAAGGCATTTTTTGATGTCTAACTGGCGTAGAGAATATTCTAAATTTTTAGCCAAGGACAGCATCACTCTTACTGTGTTGAGCTTTGCCACTAGTGCGAGAACCCCTTTTGCAACAAGTTTTGCTTTATATTTATTGAGACTCTCACAGCATTGAATTTTTGTGCAAACACCCACTTACAACCAGTAGGTTTCTTTCTATAGGGCAAATCAACTATCTCCCAAGTATCATTCTTTCTTAGGGCCTCCATTTCTTCTATCACAACTTGTCTCTATTCAAGTGAAGCCATTGCCTCATTAATAGTATTGGGTACCTTGATGTTGTTGAGGTGAGTAACAAATGCACTATTCTATGAGGAGAGAACCTGATAAGAGACAAACCTTTCTATAGTATGTTTAGTGCAAGCTTTGGGTTTCTTTCTTACAGCTACAGGAAGATCAAGGTCTCCTGCCACTTCACTTGTTTTCACAATCATCTGTTCATCCTCAAGCACACCAGCTTCTTTATTAAAATCTATCATTGATTCTAACTCTTGGTGAGTGCTAGGAGCCTAGGGCGCATTACTTGTCTTGTGCTTTCATGCATAGACCTTCATATGTTGATTAGTGTCGCCCTTGCCTCAGATTTCTCTCTTGGACTAGGATTAAGCACATTATAACTTTCAATGGACTGATGAAGGATAAGATCTAGAGGTTCAGATTCGAAGGTGATAGGTGTTTCAATTTGAGTTGTTTTGGTTTGGGTTTGAAATTCACTCCAACTCTCCCCTTGAATTGAAGACTGAGAGTACTTTGACTTGTTCATGTGGAAAGTAACATCACATGTAACATAGAGCTGCTTAGTGATGGGGTCAAAACAGCTTTGGGCTCAAGTTTATCACTATGGTGAAGATGAACATATGTGGTACAGCCAAAGACAAATGGAAGTATGTAGGTTTAATGGAGAACCTTGTAGGGGTGTTTGAAAGGAAAACATTTTGTTGGGTAAGCAATTGATGAGAAAAATAGCAGTGAGAACTGCATCATCCCAGTGACATTTAAGAACATTGCTACATAACATTAGTGCTCTAGCAACTTTAAGGATGTGTCAATTTTATCGTTTATCAATTCCATCTTGTTGAGGTCGGAACAAGTCATTCATGATTGACAAAAAGATTGAAGGAGCATTGGTAAGGCCAAATGGCATCATTGTGAACTCATAATGTCCCAAATAAGTTCTAAAGGCAGTTTTGTGGATGTCATCTGGCTTGACTCTAATCTGGTGATACCCTGAACGAAGATCAATTTTATAAAATACTAACACACCATGAAGCTCACTAATCAACTCATTAATGTTTGGTATAGGATATCTATCTGGCATTGTAAGTTTGTTCAATTCTCTGTAATCTACACAAAAACACCAGGAGCCATCTTTTTTCTTCACTAAGAGGACTGGGCATGCATATGAGCTTTCACTGAGATGAATAAAGCCTTTCTCCAATAAGTGTCAAACCTGTTTCTCAATTTCATCCTCCAAATAATGTGGATATTTGTAAGGGTGAATATTTAGAGGAGCAACATCAGGATGCAAAGGAATGGAGTAGAACCTTTCTCAAAAAGGAGGAAGTGATGTTGGAACAGCAAATATAGATCCAAAATTGTCCAAGATTCCTTAGAGAACATTTTGGAATGTGCTAGGTGATATATCTGTAGATTGTTGCCGTGTCATTGCTCTCATGCTTGCTTCTCTATGTACCCCCACATTCACCCCTTGTAACCTATGACGCTTGCAATTGATCCAGAAAATCATGAATATACATTGCCAATTAGCTTGTATAGTGTTTAAAGAGGCTAACAACTTAATGCGAGCACTACATCAATGCCTTTGAGAGAGAAAGGGCAGAATTCTTCCATAATTTCTAAAGATTGAATTTTGAGTAATTTGAGAGAAAACCTCATGGCAGCTGATCACGTTGCCATTCCATAGCTGTACACCAAAAGAAGGAACAAGCTTGGTAGGAAGTTGTACCTCCTTCACCAATTTTGATGAGATGAAATTATGAGTTGACCAGCTGTCGATGAAGATGAATACTTTTTTTTTTTTTATTAATGAAACCTTCTATTTTCATTGTTGTACACTTGTACTCATGGGATGGTCTAGAATAACACGTAAAGTCATTTCTGCATGCACCTCTTGATTTTCTTCTTCATTCAACACTATTGTAGCCTTTGAACATGAATTGTGTTCCTCAGCAACCTCCATGAGTGTTAAATTTCTAGTTCTGCAACAATGTCCTAGAGCAAACTTCTCTTTGCGTATAAAACATAAGCCTTTGTCTTGATGTAACTACTTCCTAGCCTTCCATATGGTGTTTGCACTATGTTGGGGAGTTGAAGTTGTAGGTATTGTCATTGTGGAAGTTTGTGGGAATATTAGACATTTATTGTAAACATTCTCAGGCTTTGTTAGTCTTTATTAGTCATTATTATTATTTTCTCATCCTAGTGTATAAATACTAGTTGTATTTCAATATTTAGTATCAATGAGAAATACTTTCTTCTCAAATTCCACACAGTATTAGAGTCTATGCATATAAGGTCTCTGGTTGAGGGCGTCTAGGGTTTTTTAAGTGATGCCTCGTCAAATGTGGCCTTTGGAGTGTCTCTGGCCATTGTTGTTCATTGTAGTAGAGGGAGTTCCAAATCTCACTGCTGGCTTAGGGCAGTGCACAAGGGTTCGATTGGCGAAATCCTAGAGTTTGACAATGGCCAGAAACACGTGGCACTCCCACATGCCAACTGAAGATTCTACTCCAGAGAGTGCCATGTGGTGTGTGGGAGTGTGTGAAGGACCACGGTGGCCAGCGACGCTTTCCTCTGTCATCGGTGTGACATTTATGATCCGATTATAATGTGCCCTAGGTCTAGGCAACTTGTTTTCCATATTCCTCTATCTCAAGTTCTTTTGTTCGTGTGACTGCTCGTTTGTCGGGATGTGGTCTTCCTTTTTTCTGTTCCTTTAGGTAGATGTGGAACCTATCAGCTGTCATGTAAGAAATGAGAGCCCTAGAAAAGAATGGGATATGGGAACTTGTTCATCTACCTAAAGGAAGGAGAACAGTTGTAAGTGGGTGTTCATCCTAAAATACAAGGCTGATGGAACTCTTGACAAATTGAAAGCACACATTGCAAGGGGGTTTACCCAAACATATGAATTGGACTATGAAGAAATATTTACTCTGGTGCCAAAATTGAATATAATTAGAGTCTTGTTACCTGTAGCGACTAATCTTGAGTGGCCTTTTCACCAGCTTGACATAAAAAATGCCTTTTTAAATGGACAGTTGAAAAAAGAAATCTATATGACTCTACCTCCTAAGTGTAATAAAAGCAAAGAAACTTAAGTTTGTAAACTACAAAAGTCCATATATGGCTTGAAACAGTCACCAAGATCTTTGTTTGATAGGCTCTCAAAAGTCCTAAAGTCCAAAGTTACAAGCAAGCTTTGTCGAATCATGCAATGTTTGTTAAAGTCGAGGGAAGCAAGAAATCCATCCTTATTATCTATGTCAATGACATAATACTCACCAGAGATTACCTTGAGGATATAGAGAGTGAAGGCTTCCCTTGGAAAGGAATTTGAAGTCAAGAATCTTGGAAAGCTAAAATACTTTCTTGGGATGGAAGTTGCCAGGTTAAGCAAAGGAATATATGTTTCTCAAAGAAAATATATACTTGACCTCTCGATGATGACAGGTATGTTGGGCTTAGACCTATTGAAACCCCTATTGAGGTCAAAAAACTAAAGAAGAAGCTTAAGGTAAATGAGGAAGGTGAAGAAGAGGAGGAGGAGGTCAAAGAAAAGGAAGAAGCAGCTGACAAAGAGAGATATCAGAAGCTCGTTGGAAAACTAATATATCTCTCTCATACGAGGCTTAGATATAGCCTTCTCTGTCAGTGTAATCAATCAATATATGAGTTGTCCAATGAAGAGTCATATGGAGGGAGTGTTCAGGATCTTGAGATATCTAAAAGGCACTCACATTAGAGGTTTGTTCTTTAGAAAACATGAGCAAAGATCCATCGAAGTTTACACCGACGCAAGTTGGGATGGAACCTATAAAGATCAACCTCTTGCTACTGTTCCATTTGTATGGGGAAATTTAGTGACATGGAGAAGCAAAAAACAAAGAGTTGTTTCCAGAAACAATGCTGAATCTAAATTGAAAGCTTTGGGTCACGACCTTGGAACTCCCCTTTCCTTGAACCGTGCTGCCTTAACGTGATTAACCTCTTGATCTTTGCTAAATCAACCAAACCCTCAGAATGTAGGCAAAGAGACTAGGAAACTTGAACACACGAGAGAGAGAGAGAGAGAGAGAGCTTGGATGAGAGAACTTGAAAGCTTAGAACTTTACTTGGTTTTCTTGTTTATTTACAAATAAAAGGTGAGGGGGTATTTATAGACTTCCCCTTTATTCTAGAGTTTTCCCACCTCCTTAATGGACGGTGGAGATTAATCCAATCCAACAGTTTACATTCATCCTCTAGAATGTTCTATAGAAATATCTACAACAAATATCTAGATATTTACAAGGATATTTCCAGACTAATCTTTATGATATGTGTGGAATGTTCTAAAACATCTTAGAATATCCTAGAATATTCTAGACATCTCCACATTTCTCTATAAGTTTTTAGAACCTTTTAAAAACTTCTAGATTTTCCTATATATTTCTAGATTGTTCTAGATCATCCTAGATTCTTCTTGAACGTCCTGGACTTTCCTGGAAATCTTTGCATCGTCCTGAATGTCTCCAAAAGCATCATAACCTCATGATTTCTTCTCTTTTTGAAGAGAGGTTGTGACATTTGGCTCAAGGAATTGCTGAAGAGTTGTGGCTAAAAAGCAAGCTCACCATTGAAGCTCTACTGTGATAATAAAGCTAGCATAAATATGGCCTTAAATCTAGTACAACACAACAGGTCTAAACATATTGAGATTGACCAACACTTTGTCAGAGAAAAAGTTGAAGAAGGAATTCTATGTTTGACATATTTGCCTGCAAAGTTGCAAGATGCTGATGTTTTGACTAAAGGGTTACTTGGACCTGTATTTGAGAATTGTATAAGAAAATTGGACATGATTAGCATCTATGATCCAACTTGAGAGGGAATATTAGAATATTAGACATTTATTGTAAATATTCCTAAGCTTTTTTAGTCTTTATTAGTCATTATTATTATTTTCTCATCTTAGTGTATAAATACCTAGTTGTATTTCAATATTTAGTATCAATGAGAAATACTTTCTTCACAAATTCCACAAAGGTAACACTTGGGAGTCTATTTTGCCACATTGACTGCAAGGGGAATTTGCTGGAGTTATTCACTAAAGATTTGGGCCCTTTGAGTATTGCAATTTGGACTCATATTCCAAAGCTAGGCTTTGGGCTTTGTCGATAGTTTTGGGCTTTTATATTCTTAGGTCAGCCCTTGATTCTTCCTTAAGCCCATTTAGAAAAAACCCTAATAAACAATGTTTTGGCCACTGTTTGACATGTGCCGATTGCTTAGCAAATTCAAGTCTATACTCCTGCATCATGCCATCTTGTTTGATTCCACAAAGGAATTCATTGGGATTTCAGAATTCAGCTGGTCCAAAATTTTCTTGTAGCGTGCACACTAATTCCTTCGGAGAGGTCCAGAGCATCTCCTTCCAAATACATTGCAGCTACATCGACTTTCATGTCCTCTAAAGTCAAATAATATCTAAAATATTTTTCAGCTTTAAGTATCCATCCTCTCATCTCTCCTCCCTCAAATTTCAGAAAATCCACCTTAGTTTGTGGACACTACACTTCAATGGTTCTTTTAACCACCAAGGATTATGTCTTTCATCTTCTTCATCATTAACATGGTCGGGTTGCTTGTCTAAATGTATGGAATTCTGTCTCTCTTATAAGTTGTTATTGCTAGACTTTTAATGCTGCTAATTCTACCGAGACCTTGTCCATAGCATTCAACCTTGAGGTAAGTTGATTTAATTGTTGCAAAATGGATTCCATGGACGCAGGAGTGATGGAATCTGGGCTTGATTCACTAGGGTTGTTATTATTTCTTGGCCTCACCATCCTGGATAACCAAGCTTAGATACCAAATTGTTGAGACCAGAAATATAAAACAGAGAATAAGAAGATTATTTGTTAATTTATGTAGCAAGAATCTCACTTTCATAAACTAACCAACAGTTGGAGAATCTCCTGAAACATTATCTGAATATTCACTAGTCATTCATAATGCTGAAATTACATGCTTATATTGTAAAACGCTTAGCAATTACTATAATTGCTACACGACACTTAATAATCCTAATAGACTGACAATACAACACTAAAATGACAGTACAACAGTTAAAATAAACTGCAAGTCTAAAATACTGACAACACAACACTAAAATGACAGTACAACACTTAAAATAAACTGCAAGTCTAAAATACTGACAACACAACATTATTAGTTATTCTAAATAAATAATTTCCCTATCTATCGATAGTGTTTCAAGTCTAGGCTTCTTCTTCTTGCTACAAACTAACAGTCGGCTGTTATCAAGGATCAACTATATGGATGGAATGACATTATTGTGCTCTATGAACAACTAGAGCTTTGGTATATTGTTAACTAAAAGGTCTCATTCAACAACTTTTGATTATTCTCTTTGCCTTCTTCTACCCTATTCATAGGGCTCAATGCTATTTGTTCCACGTTCTTCACTGGCACTTCTCATAGCCTTCTTTGGACATGTCCAATCTTAAATGATTATCTATCATTTTCTTCTCAATAAATGTCCTACTCTTTCTCATATATGATCATTACAAATCTTTTCTTGTATACCCAAACATCTACCTCAATATCCTCATCTCTGCTACTACAAGTTTTTGTTCTTGTTGTCTCTTCAAAGCCCAACACTCACAACCATAAATTACACTTGATCTTACAGTTGTTTGATAAAATTTCCCTTCATGCTTATTAGGTACTTTTCAATCACAAATAACTCTCATAGATTTTCTCCCTTGGAACCACCAAGCTTGAATTCTTTGTGCAACACCCCCCATCAATTTCACAATCACTTTGAATAGTTGCTCCCAAATCTCTAAACTTGTCCACTTGTGGCATGATTTGATTCCCAATCTAACCTCCAAATTGGTACCAACTAGCCTCTTATCAAAATTGCAATAGTTATTACTAATTGGCCTTCAAAGATAGGACAAGATAGGCCAAAACATTTTGAACAAGCAGCAACACCTTAAAACAGGGGAAGTGACGTAAACTTTCGGGTAAAACCAGAACAGCTACTGACCTTAAAGCCATGTTTTCCATTGTCTCTAAACCACCATATTTCTTGTATTCAATAATTTAAGTTCCTCTTTTCATAATTTTTATCCACTTCATGATTTCCAATTAAACTACAACACACCAAATAGTAACAAATACAAAAATACAAATTCATTCTACCACCAATTTCCAAAACAAAGTGCACAGGCTGTGGGCAAATGGCTATTAATCTAACATAGATGGTAAACCTGAAGTACTTTCCATATCATTCATAGCTTGGGGAGCAAATGAAATGGTTACAAGCAAGAGAAAACTACTATTCTCTCTCTCTATTTCCACTTTCTTTTGTAATTTTCCTTTGATTATTGACATTAATAAGCTCGATAATCATTATGAGTAGAAAATCATTAGAAAACTGCTTCTAATAGGAATATTTTACAAAAGAACAGTGCAAATTACAACATCACACATCTAACTTCAACATTTACCATAGAAAAAGGGGAACAAGCATGTAAGTAATTTATAGGTTCCATTCACAATATAAAATATGGTTCATATTATGATTTTCAGGCTAGTGAATAAATGCTAATAAAGACCTGATGTTGGAACTCCAGTTGGCCCTGACAGCCATAAGAAGGTAACATCCTTACAGCAACTTGCATATTGTGAAGCAATCCTTTGTAAACACTTCCATATCTTCCCTCTCCAATCTTCCAAGATGGATCAAAATCATTAGTTGCCTCATTAATCTCTAAGAATGAAAATGTGGGAAATTCTGCTTCATGTGGATATTCAGAATCTGCATTCACAAACTTCAACTTGTTGACTTCCCTGACTGCATTTGCATGCTCAATCCTTAACTTATCTCGTTTTTCCTTGAAGCTAATCAAGAGTTCCACTGCAGATAAAATTTTCTCCTCCAACTCTGTTACCATGGCCCGGGAATCAACAACTTGGCTGTTAAGTGCTGAATTTTGGTCTTGGATCATTCGCAGTTCAACCATGGTCTCATCTTGTTGATCTTTCAGTTTTAGTAATTCATACTTTTCCTGAGCCAATAGTTCTTCAAGCTCTCTTCTTCGACTAATCTCAATAGCACACAAGCTTTCTAATGCTTCAGCCTAAATGAGTACGTGTCAAATGCAATGTTATAGAAGAAAATTGAATTGATCCATATCTTGAACCAGGCAATAATTATAAAACACATTTACATCATGCAATGCATATCAGCTTCTATGTAAGTTTTTTGAATTTAAATGTTTTCAAAACTGTCATCATTTTTTGCATTTTAAAAACATGGAAACCTCTTAGAGTTGTTTTCGTTTTCTTTATTTTTTTTCCCCCTTTTCAAAAAATATTACCTTTGATTACTGTAAACTACCTTCAACTAAGACCAACTATTATCACTGGCCACTACCATTGACCATTGGCAACCACCACTATCAACCAATTTTGTAAGTCTAAAATTGTTTTTGTTTAGTTTTGAAAAGCAATTTTTAAAAACTGGGTTCACAAAATAATTTTAAAAAAATAGGAAAAAAACAAATAAACCCCAACTTTCCAAGTCAAACAACCATCAATCAAAACAATAGCTTCTGTAGCTTTTCCCCAGCCAATTGCTCTCCAAGCTCTCTTCTTCTACATATCTCAATGACACACAAGCTTTCTAATGCTTTGGCCTGAATGAGTACACGTCAAATGTAATGTTATAGAAGAAAATTGAATTGATCTCCATATCTCGAATCAGGCAATAACTATCAAACACATTTACATCATGCAATGCATGTATGCTTCATTTACTTGCAGGCATCAAAAGTGAATCATGCAACCAAGTAAAAAGACTATCAGGAAACAAAATTCAAAAAACCAAGGGCCTGTTTGATTTCTGTTTTTAAAAACTATTTTATATTTGTAAAAACAAAATAATAATAATAATAATAATAATAATAATAATAATAATAATAATTGTTTGAGTAAGTGTTTTGAATTAAAATGTGTTCAAAATTGTTCTCATTTTTTGGTTTCAAAAGAAAATGGAAACATCTTAGATCTAGTTTAGTTTTCTTTCTTTGTTTTTAAGGCATGCCACATTCGACTATTGTAAACTTCCTTCATTATAACCAACCACTATCATAGGCCACTATGGCGACCACTACTATTAGTCAATTTTTTAAGTCTAAAATTGATTTTAAATTAACATAATCAAACAAATTTCTTTTTGTTCAGATTTGAAAACAATTTTTAAAAATTAGTTTACAAAATACTCTCTCCGGTCCTATTTGCAAGACACCTTCCAGAAGTAATTTTTGATTCAAAATGTAGGACACATTATAATAGTTAAACCACTTTTTCCAATTTCCCCCCTTCCTGATCAATGTGAAGATATTTAATGCAGTTGAAAAGGAAGTACATCTCATTTTTTGATGATATCAAGAAAAAAACTAACTTTTCTTAAGTGTTTCACAATAAGGACTGGAGGGAGTATTTTTAAAAATAAAAAATAGGAAAAGAACCAAACAAGACCCACATTTCCAGGTCAAAAAATCATCACTCAAAACAAATTGAATTAGTAAAATAACTTCTTTTGCAGTCAACCTCCATAGTATTGTCATCTTCTACGCTGCTGCTCTCCTCTACTCCTATAGGTTCCTTTGTTTTAAAGCTTGTAGCATCTACATTAGCTAGTTCCAGTCTTTCACCTTGTTCTCTGGCATCATTGTGCACATCACTTTCCTCCTAGAAAATCACGAATTACTCAAAATATAGAAATAAATTTAAAATCAAGCAGATGCATATTTTCAAGACAACTGGCCAAACTGCATATCTTTCAATATTTCAATCAACATTCAAAATCGGGAGAGTTAATTAATACATCCTTATAATTTCATTGAGTTGTCAACTCAATCACAATACTTTCAAAACTAGCAACTCAGTCCCTATATTTAAAATAATAGCAACTCAGTCCCTAATTGAATAAACAATAGTAAATCGGTGCCAAGTGAAATTCAAAGCCAACATCACCACATTGCCACATCATCTCAACCCAACCCTCGTCTGAACTGAAAGCCAACACTATTACCTAATGAGTAAACACGCAGATAAGAAGGCAAGGGACAATGGTAAAGTCTTGAAATTGAATGAACATGAATAAATATTGCAAAACAGAGCAAGATAGGTTAGTTTCAACAACTTTTTGTTACGTTCTTAGCTGACATATAAACAGGAATAGATAAAACAAAAGGCAGAGGTTGGGATTGCGCATGTAGTACAGCAATATTGAAGTGCCAATCACAAAATTCAGTAGATTTTCAGCTTTCCATATTTTCACCTTCTTTCTAGGAAGAAAAAGAGTGAAGAGAAGAAAAGAAAGAATAGGATATTTGGGGGAATTGAGGTTTACTCTGTTCTGCAATATTTAGGTCTCAGGGTTACAAAGATAATATACTCCCTCCGGTCTTTAATATAAGATGCCTTTTAGAAGCTTTTCTTGGTCCTTAATATAAGATACCTTATAAAACTTGATAAAGCACCAATGAGTTGTTTCTGAAAATGCCTACATATCTAATTGGTTCATTTAGATGGCATGTTTGACTTTAGGATTTAAAGGTAAAGTTAATAATTTTAATTAAGGGTGACTTAGGATTTCCATGAGAAAAAATTAAAATAAAATATCAAGACTCTTAACTAATTTTAACCAACTTTCTCAATCCTCATGATTTGGTTAAAAGTGTCTAACATATAGGTTCAGAAGGAGTAGATATTAAATACTCGGGGTTACAGATATATTAAAAATGTATTGATGATAACTACTGAGAATGGGGGTAATTGATGCTTTAAAGGAAATGGGGGCTGTTGAAGAGGCGCTGATTACTATTACTTTATTAATATTTTATTAGTTTCTGTTTATTATTACTATTGTTTTATCAATAATTCCCCAGGTTAGTTCTTGATATAATGTCTTCTGTTACTATATTATATCTTAGAAGATAAACCTAAGATACTAATAATTAGTCAAAGATATTATATATATGATCCTAGGTTTAGGGTTTGCTGTAGCCTATATTAATCCCATCTATATACACAAGATGTATCGCATGAATTAAAAATAGAGGTGCACTACACCTCTGTTTCTACATGGTATCGGAGCATCAATCAAAGTTATGATGCAGTTTGGCACCTACAACGCTCTCAACACAGTGGATGAACATGAGAAGCCCAAAGACGGAGAGCAACACAAAGGACGGACTCCTGGTAGTGCTGGTTTCTCTCTGTCATGTCCCTCTATGACAGAAAATCAGCTGCTTTCTATCACAATGCACCGCTTCAATCGCAACAACTATCTACAGTGGTCTCAAGGAGTACTCATGTACGTTGCTGGCAAGGAAAAGAGGATTATCTCACGGGGAGAAACCACTAAACCACCTTTGCATGACCCTAAACACAAGGTATGGAATGCTGAAACTAAAATGGTGAAGTCCTGGCTCATTAATTCCATGACCCCAAAGATTGGCCAAACATTTCTTCTCTTTCGTACTACTAAAGGCATCTAGGAGGCATGTCTGTAAATGTTACTGTGCCCGTGAGAACTCAACCACTATTTTCTAGATAAAAGGAGTCACCCATGAGTTACAGCAAGGTGATATGGACATTACTCGGTATTATAATACTCTTGTTATGCATTGGCAGCAACTTGACGCTTATGACAATCACCAGTGGCACTGTAGTGAAGCTGCTGAAACTTACAAAAAGATTGTTGAAACAGATCACACATTGTTTGCAAGGCAAAACCCAAAGGGAGAGGCTGCAATTTTGATTGTGTATGTAGATGATATCATTGTTACAGGTGATTGGTGTAATGACCCTAAATTTAAACTGAAAAAAAAAATTCCTAATATTTTAATAAGTTTTATAGCAATTAGAAAGGGGTAGTTTATATGAGATTATGCTAGAAACTTTCACAAGGATCTAGAGTCCAAATTTTCTAAGTTGAAGTTTGGTTTTAAATTATAGGAAAATGTTGTGTCCTTTCTTGTAATTTTCTCATGCCTTTTATTGTAATTTTCTTGTGCTCTTTTGGTAATTTTTCCCATTTCTTCATTTGCTCTGAATCAGCTTGTTTATGCGAATTAAAAAACAGAGCATCTTGATCATTCTTTCTCACTGCCATTCTACACTTCTTTAGAGCCTCACATAGTCGGTTCCTTCTCTAACTCTTGTCTACCTCTTACTTCATTGTCGGCTGAGAATTTTTGTGTGGCTGTTGCTTCATTTGCTGTAATCATCATCACTGTTGGCCTCATCGTTCTCGTGCCAGCACAGTGGAGATGAGTTGCTGATTCTCCTTCCCTCTCACCGTTGCTGTTCGGTGTTATTGGAGGTGCGTGATACTGTATTTCTTATCTTGCTGTTCGGTCTATGCACTCACAGCTATTTTCTTCCTCCTCTCTGTTTTTTTTTTTTTTTCCCGTTTGCCATGGTGAGGGAAGAGGTTGAGGTTTTTGTTGTGTTTCTCTGCCAAGGGTTGTTGGTGGTGAGTGGGAAACATAATTTGTTATTTTCATTTTCATCATCGGATCATCCATGCACAGAGGAAGCTTAATATTTTCTTCCTCTTTTGCTCTATGAAATCTGATCGGTTTCCTTCTCTTGGGCTGTTTGGGCTGTAGTTTTCTCTCTCTCTCATGCTGTCCGTGAGTCACATATGTGAGTGGCAGATATTACTACGTGTTGGCCAAGATTATATGTTGATTCTCTTTTCTTCCGTGAATGTGGAATTCTAGTATATTAGGAGATTTACTCTTCTTTCTTTAGTGACCGAAAACGTGCTTTGCTTCCTTATAGTATTTTCTTAAGGTGGTAGAAATAATTGGGTGGTGTGGATTAGATACTATTTTAGTATATGTTGAGCTAGAATTTTGCAAAGGAAATTGGAAGATGGAAATTATTAGTTTTACTTGGGTGCTTACTTCATGATTTAGTATGATATATTTCCTCTTGGTAATTGTAAATATATACTTGAAAGATTTATAAGTGAAAATAAGGCTGTTAAAGTTATAATAAAGCCTAGAGAAATTATAAATATTCATAATAACAAGAAGATTGTTGGGTTATGTGATAGATTAATCTTCGGGCACCATTGGAATGAGCAAGGAGTTGTGGGAGTTGGACTGTAAGATTTTGAAAACTCAGGTGAGTGGATATTGTTTCAAATCAATTTCTAGAAAAGTGTTTTATAAAATCCCTTTATTTAAATTTTACTATTATTCTTTTATAAATTATACAAATATTATTGTTAATTCTATTTTTCTAACATTTGTTTTATTAAGGCAAGTATGTTGATTTTTCTGATAATTTATATTGTTGATAAGCAACATTTAAAACGGATGTATGATAAACGATATTATTTCTCAAAACTAGTTTAATTAGTTAATTCTATGTAGATATAAAGATTTATATGCAATAATTTGTGTATGGAGGAAATGATAATAATTTGAACAATAAAAAATGATAGTTGAATAGTGATTGAAAGTGAAATTTTTAAAATTGTTTTACTAAGGGGGACTGAATTCAAAACGCTGGATGCTAACAACAGTTCCGTTAGCTCTTGGCGCGCCATGGTACACCTAGCTAGCAGGACATATTGAAGATGCTAGCCCCGTGTGCTGGCTAACACACGTGGAATGGAGGATGTAATTTTGTGGATATAATCCATGCCTGTTATTCATGAGCTTTATGCTTACGCCTTTTTTTTGTGGCTTCTTGCCATGCCAAATAAGTTACTTACCCTCGTAGATTATGTGCCCACGCCCGTTGTTCGTTCTGATAAAGCCCTTCCAGATTGGACTTAAAACTTATTGTTTTTCTACTAATTTATTTAAAGGCATTTTTTTTATAGCACCATTACTCGAAATTTTATATATATTATAAACTTGTTTGGTTCTAATATTGTTGGTGATTCCACGATTATACCATTAAGCAAACTCTTTGTTTATTGTTAATTAAGGCAAGTGTTTCATTATTTCCTTGATTTGTTTAAATTAAATTAGTAGTTATTATTTTCACATTTTTATTTATTTATTTATTTATAATTTATAAACTTGATTGGAACGCTACTCACCGAAAATTTATTTGGTCTCAAATATTATAGCTAACCCTGCGCCTCCAACTGACCATTGAGGGCTATTCTTGCTTTTTGGATAAAGGAAGTACATTGTGATTACCCTTTTTGGTGAAATCTTATATTGTATTTTGTAAATTATAAGTTAGTGCTCCACTTACCATATAGTTAGATCCTAGTTTTATTTTGTTATTGTGAAAATTTCTGGAATGGAGCTAGTCTCCTTGCTGATTTGATTGACAAGTTCTGTAGTTATTGTGGAAATTTCGAGAGGTCTAAATTATAGGAGAGACTCTGCTGAAATTTCTACAAAAACTTTAAAAACTTTAAGAACTTTACTATTATATATAACTTGCATATATCGCCAATTTAACTAAATTTTTAGATAATCAAGGCTTATGAAATGTGAGTCCATGTTATATTCCCTGCCGATCATACCTTTAGTATTGGGGTGTGACAATTGGGAACAGTGTTATTAAAGGCGAAAGGCACACTCAAGGCATAAAGCCTGTAAAATCCCTTAGGCACAAGGCACTAGAAAGGCACACGCCTGAATGAAGCAAGGCGCTACCATGTAAAAATGCAACATATATAGCCAACTAACCAAAGATAAAATGAT